TTCGGAGTTTGAACTAGTGACGCTGCTAGAGGTACTGTAGCCGTCGGCGGTTGCGGCATACCGGGAATCATACAACTGGCTAATTTCTCAGCCAGTAACGGGTTGTTATGCAATGATGTCAGCAGATTCAATGCTGGAGGTTTTTTGTCGTTCACCTCGTCATTGAACGCTTGAAGACGCAGAATTTCTGAAAGAAAGAGTACTGTACTTGGTCGTGTAAAGAATTTTTGACTTGGTTACTGTAACCTACGTCGCTGTAATTCAGCGTCTTCAGCTGAGATCGTCTTTGAGCCTAGAAGATGTGGTTCACCGGATGAAGAGGTAGAGACACAGTCAGGTGATTGATCCCTATCGGAACCTGCATGATTGGATTTTTCTAGAGCATATAGCGTTTTTGACTAATTCGACTTTGAGCCTACCTGTGCCGTTGTCAGGCGAGAACCCGTTGGACACCGACAGTTCCCCGTTCAACTGGTCAGACGACGGGGTTTCTGTGCGTTGATCTGCGCATGATTCCGGTGTTGAGTATTGCATTTGTTCGGTGCCCGCCTGCGAATACGGTGGTGACGAGTTCGATGTCGTCGACAACGCAGCTAAATCCGCATTCTGTAAAAGAACATTATAAGAAAGAGGAAAAGTAGATAATGAATTTAGTTACACATATAGAGATCCTAAAATTTGATAAAAGCCTAAACAATCTCTCAAACAAATAATACACATTTCCACCTTATTAAATTTTTTTGCTTCTAATGCTAAATTCCTCTTCTTATTAATGCTGTCTTAAATCCATTCTTAACATCGTAGACTTATGGTGACCCACCTGCACCCTTTACCCATAACCTTGTGAATGGTTACTATGCACAGTAAAATTCCTTCTCATTACAGTAATACAAAATTATTAGCCTAATTATGGAATATGAAGACTTCTTGGGATAACAGTTGATTTTGCGAATATGGTACGAATTTTTCAGTGTCGATAAAAGTTTATTACAGAAAAATTAGACAAATTTTGGCAACATTAATCTTTGATTTATGGCTTAGTGGCTTTATTAATACTGTATAAACACTGATTTCACAAAAAAGTAAGATAGAGGAGGACTTCTTCACGACTCGATTTTTGGGCCACACCCATCTGAAAAAACCGAAGCCCCGCCCTCTTTAGCTTAATGTTTAGAAAATACGCACTGTCGAGCCGTAAAGTACTCAATCAGACCAAACTTTTACCCGCCCTTCAATGAGATAATGCTTCCAAGAATTTTAAGTGTACTCTTACTGAAGTGCTTAACACTGTTTGTCCTCCTCCTAAAAGTTAAACTCTAGACAATTGGCACAGCGCCAAATCTTTACAACATCTGGCAAATCGTCGTAACATTCCCAGCTCTCGAGTGAGTATTTGCATGCACTTAGTCATAAAGAGAGCAAAAACGTAATGGATCGCATCATGCC